TAATGCATTCCTATGGGAAATGGTGCTTCACATAACGATGTTTTCACATAACGATTTTTTTTTTGGAACCAATTAACATCGTTATGTGAGGCACCACTGTATATCTTTATCAAAATCTTAGTCATTCTGGTTGACTTGAAATCAGATCTTAATGCATTCTCTTGTTTGTTGTGCAGCTGTAGTGGTTTGATTGCTGCTCTTAGGGTACAATTTGGCATCATGTGACTTTGTTAGGCTCATCAGTCAATGAGAAAAGTTCATTTTTCTGTGTGAACCATATTTATATTCTCTAGGTTTTTGGTGTCAGAGATTTTTCAGTTTCTTTGTACAAAGTTTCTTTGCAAACGCTTGTTTTTAAGGCTAGACAAGGATTAGCAGCAGTCTTAATATTCTTCTTCATCATATCATTTGAGTTTAGTTGTACATGCCTATGAGTGAAGATAAAGGAGAAAAAGGCCATGAAATAGGCTTTTAATTGCTGCCAGGATGTAGAGACTTGGTCCAGTTATTTTAGTACAGTACTTTTATTTCTGAAAAATGATATAATTTATGGAACAGGATTTCAGCCACTGTGTTTTTGACGGGCTCTGCTACCATTTTATCCATCTATTTATTACAGGTTTTTTGTATTGTCTCATTTCAAAATTTCAAAGTTTTATATTTATTACTTACATTCCTTCAATGAGCTCAGATCAGATCAAAGCAGTATACAAAGTTATTTCCCTTAATATTATATTTTGCAACAACACAGTGAGGTAGGTCAGGCTGATTGAATGAGTAGTTTTAAGGCCATCCTGAGTTTTATGGCTCAGTCATGACTGGAATCTGGATCTCCTAAGTCCAGCATGCTTACCACTATACCTGTGCTGGACTTCCACTTTGTGGTCCATAGGCATGCTGGCCAAGGTGTAATGTTAAACACAGTTCTCAGGATACTGAATAACAAAAATGTTTTGAGATTCTTCTGGCACAGCATGCAGTTACATACAATTCAGCTAACTGTCGTATTACCCTGGTGCACCGTTTCTGAACCTTTTAAAAACTCATGCCCCTTTAAGAAACAAAATAATTTTTGGCCACACTTTCAAAACGGAATTGTTTTATTTGACATAATAACAAATGAAATAAATCTGTCTTGAACAGCTTTAACAGGATGTTATAGACTGCTTCCTAAGAAATTGATAGCTATAATTGTTCCATCTTCCATTTTTTCAAATACAAGATTATAATAGTGAATATATTCCCCTCCAGATACATATTTCTCCCATCAAATCCTGACCTAATCACCTCACAGGAGAGCATGCTTCATTGATTGTGAATCATTACATTAATATGGGTTTCTAATGTGGTGATGAAGGAACTGCTTCTGCTATTGAGTTTCCGCTTTCCTATCGTCATCTATGTACAGTACTAGTTTTTCCTTTCCATTAGAAAACTCTGCATGTTCACAAGAGTTGCTTGTTCTCTTGTGTTTTGTGATTGAAGCCAGTAAATTTAAAATTATCATCACTACCATAATTGATTCTTCATTTATTTTAACAAAGGAACTTCTTACTTTTCTGGTATTGGTGCATTTAAGTCTCCTATCATTTTGAAAGTTTTCTTTTACATTTCAAATTGCAGGTGCGAGGCTAGCCCTGGCGAGACTTCTTTCAGGTGAGTGTCTGAATGGGACAGAATGTTACAGGATCTAATACCTTAAGTACTAGCCTTTTAAAAGCCTCTTGGGTTCATGATTTTTTGACATTTTCTCTGAAAGCTTACTTTTAAAAAAAGAAAAGAAAACCACCTCTTTATTCTGTTAAACTTTGATATTTGTAGTATTACTAAGGACAATATATATAAATTGATAGTTTATCATTTAGGCTCCAGGAACTGAGCTATTAATAGTTTCAAAATATAACAGTTTTAGTTTTGCATATATTCCTTCTCTATTTTGAAAACAAGTATAGATTTGGACAAAGAATCACAGCTAAGGGCATAAGTTGAGATCACAACAGCTGTGGGACAAGGTAGATAAACATCAGTGAGTTTTAAAAATGAAATTGATTGAAATAAAAATGTTTTATTTAAATAATCAAAAACCCAGTTTTAAAAAATGTATTTTTTTTAAAAAAATTATTTATTAGATTTATATACCGCCCATCTAGAATGTGTCTACTCCGGGCGTTTTACATATAACATAAAAATAAACTAAGGTAAAATCCAGATTAATCACAGAGTCCAAGATGGGAAAGGAAGAAAAGAAGAAAGAGAGAAAAAAAGAAAAGAAAAGGGGAGTTAGGCTAGGTTAGGGATGTCTAACCTTTTTGAGCCTGAGTGCCCAAACTTGGGGGGGGGGGACAAACACCCAGCGGGCACTGGGCAAAGCAGACGTGGCGGCAGAATGGGGAATCCGGGTCATGGAGGTGCCTCCTGACCCCACTCCAGGTCTGCCTCCAATCGTGCCCAACCCCCGCCAGTGCCAGCTGCTCCGGATCCTGGCCCACCAGCATGTCGGGGCTCCAGCACTGCGGCTGCAGCCACCTCCTCACACCACCATGTCGGGGCTCCAGCACTGCGGTGCAGCCACCTCTTCAGATTTGGCTGCCAGAGGTAGCGATCCAGCGACTTACGGCTCGCGTGCCTGCTGTGGCACGTGTGCCATAGGTTCGCCATTGCTGGACTAGGTAATGGCTGTAGGGAAGGCCTGCCTGTATAGCCATGTCTTTAAATCATTATTTAAATCAAATCCATCCTACTGATTGAGCATCTGTGTGACTACCATATGTGCAGAAGGATTTTTTTTTTTGGTGTTTTGTTTTCAGTGCCTAGTGCATCTTGAATATTACACTGGATGTTTTTGTCATTGGATGTTGGGGGAATGGTGACGTTTTACAAGTTTAGGGGATGGCTGGAGACTACAGAACTGGAAGAAACTGCCTTATGTTGAGACCATTGGTGGCGTAACCCTATATGGCCAACTCTGGTAGTGGTTCTCTGTAGCTTCAGAAGGCTTTCCGAAGCCTACTTAAAAGATCTCTGGTATTTTGGCTTACTGCATATAGTGACAGTTAGCCAAGGGAAAGAATGTAAAAAGGCTCCTGATAGGTCAGACCAAAGGCCTGGCTCTCATAGTAGAGAGATGGGCAACATTTTTTTTCTCCAACGGCTCTCAAATAGCCTACTGTCTTGTTGGCTGTAGGATATTGGGAGCTATAGGGGGAAAAAGAGTGATATTTCTTTTATCTAACTAAGTCTGATACCTGCAGGAAACACCCTCCCCCTCCCCAAAAGCAGGACAAGAAAGCAATGGCTACCTTCTGCTTTGGTTTTGAAGTGACTGGAACAAAAAATGTATTGCGTCTCATTGAGAAGGTAGTATATAACCATAATTGCTAGTAGGCTTCAATCTTCTAAGCAATTAAGATTTGCTTCCATTTTCCCCATTCCTTTTTTGTTTTAATTTTTTACTTTTTACTTTTATTAGTTTTTTCTTATTTTGCATTGTGTCTGTTCTGTCTTGAATTTGCAAGTGGAAGCCTTTTTAAAGTCTGCACGGCTGCATAGAAAATTTCAGAAATAATAATCCATCACAATCTAATGGGGATGCTGTATATAGTTATGGATACTGCTTAAAAGGTGCTCTGTATTTCAGAATCATGAATGCAAATGTGAAGGAATTTGGAAGAAACCAACAGAAATTATTAAAAATCCAAAACAAATTAGGGGTAATATTCTTTTTGTTTTGTTTTCTTTTGCTTTGTCCGAGTTCTAATAATGTGTTTCCTGTGGACTTCAGTAGTAATTTAGAAATGACGTAAAGTCCTCAAAAGCTGTTGATGCCGTTGTGGGTGGGTTGAGCATGGATTGAATCTTCTTAACCTCTGAAATAAGTGAAGGTAAGCCGTAATGTTCACCTTTCCTCCCTCTTGCATGATTTACAGTTAGCTTGGTTACCAAGGTTGGCATTCTGGCTTTTCTTTGGTTCTGAATGATTATTCCTAAAAGCTGTGCTTTATTGTAATATGTTTCTTTTATAGGAAGGGTATTGAAAAGCAAAAATGCTACCCCTAAATGGGTCAGAGCTGTTGACTGTGGTGCAACATATGTTTTCTATAGTAGTCTAGCAGGACAGAGTTCTTAGCTGTCTTTGTGACCTCAATGTTTGTTCCAAGTAGGCGGCGTGATGATCAGGACAGGCCTATTTTTATTTCCTCCCTCTGGCTTGAGCCACTTCCGTGCTCCTTAAGACAAAGCACTTCACAATATAATGGATCTATTTGTTTTATTACGTAGCTTGTTTTGATTTTTTGATGAGCTTCACCCCACTTCCTTGACACATAATCTTGAAGTAAAATAACCCTTCAATTAGTCTGAAATTGCAGAAGCAAACAATACAGTTATGCAACAGTAGGAGTAACTTTGATTTAAAAATAGTTCTGAAGCTAGGATTATGTGCATTGAGAGCAAGTAATATGTAAGCTTCAATAGTTCCGTGCTCCTGACATGAAATGGCGTTATTGCCATTTTGATAAGATTCCTAGTTTGCTGTAGAGAAGAATGACATTCATGCTTGAAAATTACCTTACTACAGACAAATTTTTGCAGCAAGCTTTAACTGATTTTGATGTAATAAACTGTGTCCCCTGATGCTGTGTTGTAAAGGTGATCTTACCAAGGTTAATGATGGCTGTCTGTCAAGTGAATAGACATTTATGTATGTGTACAGACTATCTTTTTTGCAGTTCTGTCACACATCCCTCCATGATTGTTATTAATGAATGCTGCAAAAATATCGTGCAGAATTCTTATGTATTTTACAAATATACTGCTACATATCAACTATTAAATATTTTGTTTGAATTCCTTTTTATAAATTTATAAATTTCAGGTTAACTTTCAGCCCTAAGGTTCAAATCTGTTGACTAAATCAAACTAGAATAGATCCTTCAACGAGTTTGTGCACCAGTATAAATCCTGTTGATCCAGTGGGTATACTTTAGTTGGACTAGCAGTTGAATTTAGGTTTAAAACTTTTTTGACATTAAGCAACAGAGCTTGTATTGTGTCCCGATATTTAAGAACAGATGTTAATTGTACCATCAATTGTATGAATTCTACCAATGTACAGCGGTGCCTTGCATTACGACGTTAAGTTTTTTGACATTAAGCAACAGAGCTTGCATTGTGTCCTGATATTTAAGAACAGCGGTGCCTCGCATTACGACGTTAATTTGTTCCAGCGAAATCGCTGTAGAACGAAAATGTTTTAATACGAAATGAAAAAGCCCATAGAAATGCATTAAAACCCAATTAATGCGTTCCTATGGGTTTGAAACTCACCGTCCAGCGAAGATCCTCCATAGCGCGGCCATTTTTGCTGCCCGTGCAGCGAGGAATCTGTCCCAGAAAAGAGCGGGGGGGGGGAGCCATTTTTTTTACACGGTGGCCATTTTGAAACCACCGATCAGCTGGCCGAAAATTGTCGTTTTGCGAGAATTGGTTCCCGAAGCAGGGAACTGATCATCGCAAAGCGAAATTCCCCCATAGGAAACATGCACTGGTGAACTCTCCAACACAGAGAGGCCTGGACGTCCACAGAAGCTGGGGTTTGTGGGGGTTAAATAATCTGGAAATCCAGTGTGCCCCATTCCTATGTTAAGTCATTCCACCTGCTTCATTCTGATGTAAGATTTCCAGTGCACATAATTGTTATAAAAGCATTATAATATTGACAACATATTGGTTTGTTAAGATTGGACGTATTGCTGCCTGCAGTTTTTATCGCCATTTGTGCATTTGGGTGTTGGCCCAGGAATGTCATTAGCCTCTTGTTAATGGGCGATAGTTTGTTCTAGGACATATGTGAGTTTCCTTATGTAAATCGCCAGTAGGATTCTGGCCAGTGCTTTCTGGTACATAACTTGTTGCACCTTCTTAAGAAGATGCAAAGCACTGGTACCTCCAAAGTATTAAACATCTGATCTTTCACAAATTCTTTTTGATCCCTGAGTTAAAGGTGTAGTGTAGAATGTACTGTATTGTGTATGGATAGAGTGCCATTATCCACTCTCCTTTAAAGCCCCAAGTGTGCTATTCCCCACTCACCAAAATTGATATATTCTGCCAAATATTATCCGTATTACCAAACCCCATGTTGTTTTTTAATTGCAGTATTCCAAATACAGTTATTGAGGGAAGCAGATTTGAAGAGGGAGAGCACGAGACCTGAAATTTTTATTTCTATCAGAAAATGCCATTGGTTAAAAACAGGTTGAGAGATGCTGGGCCATGGAGTGTTTACACTACTTTGCATTTAAGCACTGGCCTCATAGACACAATAGAAAAGCAGAGACCACCAGGAACAAAGCAGTTGAATTCCTATTGTTTACCGAGCAGTGCTAGCATTTCATTTTCTCTCTCTTTCAAATTACATGACTTTTTTTTAAAAAAATGCACCTTAAACAGTTTTCAGGATGAGAAGTGCCATTGTAAAGCCATATACCCAATAGTTTAGTTTTAGAGCCATGGAAAAGCGATGATTCTTTAAAAAAATTAAATCTGTGCTTCTCCTCCAGGGAGGTCAAGATAGCAAATATGGTTCTCTACCCTGGCCATCCCACTCACGTTGATTTAACTGAGACATAATGATTGGCTTAAAGTTACCCATTGAGCCTCATGGCTGAGCAGTGTTTTGAACTTGCACCTCCCAAGTTCTAGATGGCTGTTGCATCTCAAAGGCTAGGTTTTAATGGAAAGTTTCTGTTCATGGGCGCTTAACAATGTTTGGATAGCACAGTTGTATATAAACCTGACATTTCTGAATACAGAGACTTGTGTCCATATTAGTCCATTTTTTGACACATTGAATTCCATGGTGCTTAAAATCTAATTATGACCACAAATGAGAAAGGTTACCTTTTTAAACAGCCGTACCCAGAATGTCAGCATTGCCAGACTGTATTAAGAGGCAATGCTGTGTGGTAGATTCCAGGAGTTGTAATTCAGAAAAAACAGCTTTTGCTTTCTATGGGTTCTAACTGATTTGCCTCGGTGATATCAGTTATATATTGGATCCAGGTCTGGGTCCAACATGCCCGTCTTGGATGCACATTATGTAGTGTGCTCCTAGTCCCTTGGTTTTAGAAAATGAGGTGGATTTCTGCGTTCATTAGCTTCCATTCAGAAGGCAGGTTTTGGTGCATGCATCTGCTGGCATAGCTATGTGGAAATCTACTTTGACCACGTGGAGAAGAGTGTGCATTAATCAGTGAATAAATTTGCTTTGTAAAGCAGGGACAGAGCCTGGGAAAGTAACTTTCTTGGACAGTAGTTTCTGAGACTTTCGTTAGAAGTTTGTTTCCCAAGTCATGAAGCTGTGCGAGGCACCTCACAGATCCTAACTGTTTTTTTCCAGGCTCTGAAGAAGATGGGTGGGAAATGTGTTGACTCTCTGGATCAACCATTCTCAACCTTCTTTTGGCCACGGCCATAAACACAGTATGAAAGAAATGTAGGCCAAACCAGGATTGTATAAATGCATAACAAACCTTATAAGGTGGTGTGTGAAGAATTGTTTCCAGTCTGTGGCCGCCTTCAAATGTGCCAGGGCCACCCCAGGGGGCCATAGGGCCCTATTGAGAATGGCTGTACTACATGATTTTGAATTGCAGTCTGTCTACCTGAACTGGCATAGTGATGGGGAACACGTGGTCCCACAAATCTAGAGGGGGGCATGCTCTCCATCCCTGTTGCAGAGATTGTCATGTGCCCCAGGATGGTTTGCTAAATACTACGTTCTCTACGTGCAGTTCATCTCTTTTCTCCACCCTTTTCCTATGATTCTTCCGGGGGAAATTACCAAGCTTATATGGTTGTTGCAGTAAAATGCTAAGCAGAATTGGTCCTGTGTCTACCAATGAAATATGGCATTGAGACGATCTAGTAGGTCTAACCTGTGCCTCATGTTTATGTTATTTGAATGCTCTGCATTTAGTTTAGAAGTCACTTTCTACACCCTTTCACCTTTGCTTAGCAATTATTTCTGTAGCAGTTGGTAAGCTTTCTTGCCCCTGGCAAAGGGTTCCTTTTGGATACTTTCCCATTTGGATGATTTCCACTTGTAAATTTCATTGTGTAATTTGTTTGCACAGACTGAGTACTTCCTTGTGAAAATATCCTGTTTAGCATTAACACTAGTTTTTTGCTGAACTTGCTTTCAGCAGGCTTACTTCATTGTTCTTTGTATATTTGACTATTTTATGTTCACCAAGTTAACCTTATGGTTAAAAGAGGTTTGTAGCTGTAGCCCAGGGTTGGACTGAGTGTCATATATGAGCTCCATGTGACCAACTAGAAGCATTTTTGTCCTCCCAAGGCCACCTGTAAGGCCAACATTTTTTTTAAAATGAAGAGAAGCCCTTTATCCACTCCTGGGCACTTTCTGGAGCTGTGGTTTTACACTGGGGGCCTGGGGAGAGTCCCCTAAGCCACATCCTGGCACTCGATGGTTTCATTAAAAAAACAAAATAAAAGGAAATGGTAGTTGGAGTCTACTGCCAACTGCCCCATTAAGTAGAAGGCTATCCTTGACATAACCAATGCATGGACCAATGTGGTGAAGGACTTGGTGTCAAGGTAGGGACGCAGTTGATACGCCTTAGATGGAAATAGGTGGAGTGGACCACAGATGCTATCTGGGACTCCATTGATAGTGCTGTATGCCCGTGGTGCGAATCTCATCCTCAGCAGAGAGAGTAATTCCCCCCAAGAGAGAGGGGTATCCACCCGAAGGACCTCTATCTTGTCTGGGTTCAGCCTCAATCTGTTGGCCCCCATCCACTTGAGTACTGCAGCCAGGCAGCGCTCAAGGGACAGGATGGCATCCGGAAAGGTGGAAGGAGAGATAAACCTGTGTGTCATTGGCATATTGGTGACATGCCACTCCAAATCTCCAGATGACTTCCTCTGGCAGCCTCATTTAGATACAGTGGTGCCCCGCTTGACGACGATAATCTGTTCCGTTAAAAGCGCTGTTAAGCGATATCGTCAAATGAAAGAAAAAAACATTGAAATGCATTGAAAACCGTTTCAATGTGTTCCAATGGGTGAAATACCTCATCGTCCAGTGAAGATCCTCCATAGGGGAAGCTATTTTCGGTCGCTGTCTTCCGAAAAACAGCGGGCAGCCATTTTGAAAACCGACGATCAGCTGTTTTTGATCATCGTAATGAGACTCGGTTCCCGAAGCAGGGAACTGATTGTCGTAAAGCGGATTTCCCCCATTCAGTCATCGTGAAGCGATTTTGTCATGAAGCGGGGTAATCGTCAAGCGGGGCACCACTGTATTAAACAGCAACAAGGAGATGATTGTCCCCTGAGAGAGTCCAAGGGGTAGAGGCCATCTCCCAAAGTTGCACTCTGTGGAGGCAGTCCTCCAGGAAGGACAGGAGTCAGGACAAAGCCAAGCCACTGATCCCCAGTCCAGAGATCCTCCCCAGGAGGATATTGTAGTCAGTGGCATCAAAGGCTACTAAGAGGTCGAGGAGGACCAGCAGGGACATTTTACACCATCAGCCTCCTTCAGAAGGTCATCATGCAGGGTGACCGGTGCCATCTCCATGCCATGATGCAGCCTGAATCCGTCCATGGAAGCCGTGGTTTCCAAGAACTCAAGAGCTGGCCTGAAAACTTCAGTCTCAACATGGATGTTGAAGTCACCCAAAAACCTGGAGGACATCAGTGACGCCGCTGAGGCGTTTGCCATCAGCGGAAAGGAGAGTGCTGGTTTGTGGGGAGCATGATAAACCAGCCCCAATCTCAAGTCCATCCCTTGCCCCCAAAGAGGCGTGGAGGGCCTCCAGGCCTGGAATTGCCAAAGCAGGGAGCCTGACGGCTCCTAAGATGTCTTTATAAACAGTGGCTACTCCCCCATCCTGTCCCTGCAGTTCTCCCCTGATGTTGGATGGAATAACCAGGTAGGCATATTAAGGACACGGCCACGTTCCCCCACCTTGGTGCTCAGTGTTGTTGATTGTAGGCATAGAGTGTGCGAAAGAGTGCCTTGTCTAAAGTCGCCTGTTGAATTTCTGGCTGAAGAGAAATCTGCTAGAAGGATTATACTTGCTCACATGAATCTAGGAGAAAACTGCTAACATTGACTAACAAATATTGTGAAATGTATAGCTCTCCAGAATAATTGTTTGCTCAGCTTTAGTGAGGCTACAGCTGTTTTGAACTGTGTTTAAAAAGTTTTCCTAGTGGTGTTACGTTAGGACTGGAAGATTGTTTTCTTCTTGCTCTTAGTAGCAATAGCAGCAGCAGCAGTAGTAGTAAGTACTCACAGAATGACATTTATGCTCAGGTTGCTTTGAGGTTGATGGTCCAATTCAGCCTTCTGCCAAACAGCACTAATCCACAGTCTAGAACCGAGGTCACCGAAACTGGGTTAGCACAGCACAGTTTGCAAGAGGAGAGATCACTTTTGACCTTATTTGACCTGCCCTCTTCAGCCGTCTCCTCCTTTCATGTCTTGCAGAGCTGCGCTGCATTCCTGGGCAATTTGCATGTCGTAGTGGTTCCATCCAGTGCATCCCTTTGAACTGGCAGTGTGATGGATGGCCGACCTGTGAGGATGAGAGTGACGAAGTTGACTGTCCAAGTAAGTGTCCTTGAAAACAGAGCTTGGAAGCGCCTGGTTGTAAACAACAGTTTCCTTGTAGGATTACTTCACTCCTTTTACAGTGTAATTGTGAATGGTTTTCAAGTTACTGTTATAGTTGCTAATTGTGTGGTGCCTCACTACATAGATTTCTTTTGTACCACAGACCAGCAGATTGTAGCATTCTGCTTCTTTAAATAAATTAACAAAAACAACTATTTCCTTTTAAATAAACTATATAATGGTAACTAGTAGACATGGGATATTTGTATCCGCATATCAAGGGATATGAATATCAGCACCAGAGGAAACCGAACCTTCTTCCCAGAAGCTGCTGGTCCACTTACTGCTCCCTGTGTAGCGTGCAGGGCTGTTGTCAGCCGCATAGTGGCAATTGTGGAAGTAGCTTGGCTGGTGCTTCCCTACACAGCCTCTGATGAGGAGGCAGGATGATGAATCCCCTGCTCAGCTGCTGAGTGGTTGGCTGTGTAGAGAGGTGGAGAAGTGCCAGCCAGGCTATTTCCACGATTGACACTATGCAGCTGATAATGGCCAAGTGTGCTGCAGGATATATGAATATGAATATCCCATGTCTTTTTACTAGCAGCTTTAGGGGAGGAGCATCTTGGAAAGTCAACTGTAACTATTTTGAAAGTTTTTTTTTTCCTAGCACTTACCTAAAATGAATTGCACGTTGCACGTAATGTAGGAATGATGTCGCAGCCATTGAGGCCTTCATAGCGGCACGATAATAGCTAAAATGTTTGGAGCAACATCTGGTTAGGAAATTGTGCCTGAGATTTTCTGTCCAATTTTGTTCACAGATCTGAAAAATCTGTCTTCTCAGTGATGTTTGCCTGTTGTACTAATGGCGTTTGTTAAGAGGCGGAAGACTTTGCATCTTCCAAAATATTTTGAACTTCAGCTCTTAGAAGCCTTAACCAACATTTCCAGGAATAAAGGATGATAGAAGTTGTAGTCCAAAACATCAGGAAAAACCAAAGTCTACAACCCTGCTCTGGCTAAATTTCATTGCCCTTTGCTCAGACTTTAAATCTAGATGGTCTTTACGGTTCTGAATGAGCTTGATTGTGGTTTGTGGTTTCTTCAGTTATATCGTTCAAAATCTAGTATGGAAAAACTTTTAAGATGAGTCAGACATTGTTTAATGTCAAATTTGAAAGCTTCTTAACATGTGTAAATTATGTTACTATTTAAAACAAACTGGCTTCAAGTAAAGCTGGAAGATCAGAATGTTGAGTGATTTCCTTGGCAGGAAAAGAATATGTAGCATTGTAATCAAAGAATCTGGTAAGATTACATGAGAGATATTCTTTTTTCTCCTTCTCCTAATCAGTGGCGTGTACTTGCCAGTCTTTTTGTCTGTGTTTGCCATTTGTGTTCATCTAGAAGCACAGATGGAGAGCTGTGTTTGTCTTGGCTGAATAATTTCAGTCTTAATTTGCAAAAGAGTGGCAGTTTCTAGGTTTCCTAATTAAAAACAAACAGTTATAGTATATGCCCAATAGCAGAATCTGAACAGTGCAGACAAAGAAGAGAGTTTACTGTATATAATGTTACATGGAAGAGAGGCAGCTAGCAGTGGGTGTAAGAAGTGAAAGGATGCTGAGTGTAAGAACTTGAAAGATAATTAAAAGAGGTGGTGATGCCTGTATTACACTATCACGGGTTCTGAAATTTTAAAACATTATTTTCCTGAAGATATGCAAACTGGGCGTATAAAATAATGGAGGCATGAAACATCAATATTTTATACCCAACACAATGGACGTTCATATTTTCTCCAGTGGGATAAATAGCAGCTTTATATTAGGAGGTTTAGACCATTGAAATCAAATTTTTAGAAGGGGAGAGAGTCTTCCTTCATTCCTGCTGTTCCAATCAAAATTGTAATACTCCCTTGGAGTTGTTCTAATTAAAAAGAAATATCAGATCTGACTAGAGATTTCTGTATTAAGTGTAGTTGCTGCCTAGGGAGGCATCTCTTATTTTTCTTCAGCTTAGAATGGCAGTTTTCAGCTTTTATTTGATTTCAGAGATGGCCAAAATGTGGTCCCAGGCTCCAAGTCACCCCCAAGATTATTATTATTGTTATTTTTGGGAGACCTCTTGGTGCTAGATTTATTTATTTACAATTTATTTACAATATTTTTTAGCCGCACCATTGCCAGTGGCTTCTGGCAATGTTCCCTGCCAATGTTCCCTGCTGGAAAAAGGGAACAGTTTAGGTCTTCTTCAGGAAGACTCGAAGAACATTTCTCTAAAATGGGGTGCATGGCTTCGAAGCCTTCCAAACAAAATGTGGCAACAACTAAGTAGAATTCTACAACCCAGAAGAACCCCCCCCCCAAAACTTTTTAGGGCTCACAAGGCTCATGGTGGGTACAGTTTATACATCCCTGAATTTCCCAGGCCCACTTTATGTGGGCTGCCACATCTTAAAATTTTGATAAGCCATCATCTAAAGCCAATGATTCTCAGCCTTGGGGCCCCAAATGTTCTTGAACTAAAACTCCCAGAGGCCTTTGCCAGTTGCCGTGCTGGCCAGGGTTTCTGGGAGTTTTAGTCCAACCCAAGGTTGGAAGCCACTGATCTAAGCAAATTATTTGAAACATGCATCAACTACACTTACTGTGAGTTCCTTGTATCAGCTGGTGGTAGACATACAAGCTGCACAATATCTTTATTGTTGGGATCAGAACTGGTCTTAAGTATGTGTCCATGGAGCCTCCCCACCTGCATATTTGTGTAGCCAGAATTTTAATCGACGTGTCATCTTAGCAATACAGTAGGACCAGATACCATGCTATGAATAGCATTAGCTGTTAACGTAATGTTTTGTATTTTTCAGCATGGGGGGGGGGACTTGGAACTGGTCCTCTGTGATTACAGGGGGTCTTATTCTACTGCATATCAGTTTAGTGCCCTTTAGATATACAGTAATTCTTCAGTGAATACTGTAGTCCTGCTTCATATTTCTTCCTTCCTATCTCTTCTCCCCATGCAAAGCTTTTCAGCAACCAAATTATATTAAATTCTAGCTTAGGTCCTGTTGCTCAAATAGATTTTTTTGGGGGGCTAACTTTTCCCCGCTGTGCCCCTCTCCAATAACCAGCAATATTTTGAAGTCATTGGATTTGCATCTTTGATCATTTGCTGCAAAAGGATTAAAGTCCCTCTGGCTGCCACTGACATGTTTGCATGCTTGAGATTACTGGGAAGATTTGCACAGCGTGTGCCTATTTTTGCCTTCTGTGTCCTATTCACATGATGCAATGTTCTGCTGCTTTTTCAGAACTGGCAGATTTGCCGGTTAAAAGAGGTTGGCAATAAGATTCATGCTGTAAGACCCAGGGGCTGTGTATTGTGGCTGGTGCCACCTCTTGTTCTTCAGTAACTTTGTAAGTGATAACTCTCCCCCCACTTTACTTTTCAGTGATGTTAAGCTGACTGCTACTTAAAGCTACACCTTTCAAGCTTGGTTGGCAATAGGCATTTTCTAACAGTCTCTCCCTTGCTTCTGAAACCCCTTGCCTAAGTCAGATGGCTCTGTAGCTTTTTGATTCGGAGGGCCCGTGTGTTACTCATAAACTCCTCACCTCTCCATGTACCTTTCCAGCCTTCCCTTTGTCATAGAGATAAGAACATAAGCTGTACTCAGTCCAACCAAAGACCTATGAAGTCCACCATTCGGTTCACACAGTGGCCAGCTCGTGGTCTGTGGGAGGTCCATCGGGAGCACATGAATGCTTCTACACCCTCGCTCTCACATTCCCCAACAACTGATAAAAAGAGGCATACTGTCTCTGATGCTGGAACTGATACATGGTCACCTCAGTAGTATGGAAGCTATTGAGAGCCTTAACCTCCCTTGATCAGTTTATCTGATCCCTTTGGGGAATGAGGAGGATGGAGAACATGTGTGTGTGTCTAAATGTTGGACGGCACCTCCTGTGGTTATTTATTATATTAGCTAGAGTTAATGGGAGTTGTACAGCATCACTTGGAGGGGCACACAGCCCCCGTCTCTACTGTGACAGCAGCTTCATACAAAGTAATGTTCCTTTTATGCACTGCTAGACTGGGAGATGCTGGGAGTTGTGGTCCAAAAAGAACTTTTTTTGCAAGCTGTAAAATAATATCTTAAATGTCCAATCCCCTTTATCTGTTAGTGCAGTGGTCCCCAACCTTTTCCGAACTGTGGGCTGGTTGGGGGGGGTGGGGTCTGTGCATGGAGGGTGGAGTCTGTGCGCGGGGAGGCAAGGCCGGGTGGACAGGCCGTGGTTACAAGTGTGTGTGTGTGTGTGTGTGTGTGTGGAGTGAGAGAGAGAGAGAGAGAGAGAGAGAGTACATGCTGGGGTGCGGGATATCTGGTCTTGCCAAGGTCACGGACCAGCAATGAGCTGCAGACTTATTCACAGGACACAGGGACCCCTGTGTTAGTGGATCCTGCCTGCCTCTTCCTCTTTTTCTTTTACTGCTGTAAATGCCCTCTTTTCTTGCATGGAACAAATGCATTCTTCCCAGCAGTCCTGGGTTGAGAGAGCCTGTCCCACTTAGGTCTTGTGCAAAGAAAATTACTGCATTTGCCCATCACTTTGGAACAGTTGGTTTGGAAAAATGCTTTTTATATCATATGAATATCAAGATCAGAGGTTGGATATTTTATTTTTTGGGACTACAGTTCCAAGGATTCCCCAGACAGTAGAATATAATACTGGCTGGGAAATTCTGGGAGTGACCATACAAAACAAAACAAAAACAACAAAAAACAAGCAATCCGTTCTTCGCTCTACTTAGGATGTTATTGTTTCTCCTTCGCATCAGTTGCTTCTGTACGAACACTCCAGGGGAAAGACGTCCTCCTGGTTTGTTGGTGGTGACCTCTAACATGAGGCATTTTTGGCACCTGTCTTTTTTGGGGGTTGAGGGAAGCAGAATTTGTATAGATAATTCTATCTTTAGTTGTTTGTTTATGG